CTGAAAGCCCTCAAAAGGACTGTGAGAAGGGCGAGGTTTTGAACTTCGCTTCACACTCACCTTTTAACAGAGGCCGGGATGTTGTGATTTCCCCGGTGGCAGAGGTGGCCTGTCCTTTATTTACCAGCCTGCACGTCTCTCGGCTTCAGAAGGAACAGAGCCCGCATTCAAGGTCCAGATCAGCTCTGCACCGGGGCCTTATCTCGGAGGATGCGCGTTTTAATTTCCCAGCCTACCGTGGCTTCATCTTGAATTTGTAGAAGGTCTTAGCTCTCAGCGGATCCCCTCCCCCGCCCCAGCCCTGACAAATAGCACTGAGTTTGATCATTTTGAATTCTTTTAGTACCCACCCCCCAAAAAAGATTTTTGCTGTTATTTCTGAAACCACCAAATGAGTGAGGGTATACGTGAAAGGGAGAAAGAGAGCGAATGCACACACCTGTCTTTTCCCCCTTTTCTTTTTCATAAAGATGCCTGCTTCTTGGGACCCTACGTTGAAGGCATCTCGTATTTTTAATCAGCACGTAGGACATCCACAGTCGGCCAGCCCTCCGGCCCCCAGCAGCTCCTCCAGTGTGGGTGGCTCCCTGGCGCAGATTCTCAGCACCCCCTCTTCAGCCAAGCCCACAGGGAAGAGAGGTGGCAGGCATCCCTCCAGAGGGCCCAGGGCTCCCTGAAATACAGACTCCAAGTCTGGGGAGTGGCCACCTTCGACCTGGGAGGGCCTGGGGATGGCTCGGGAGGGGCAGTGGCAGTGGTCACAGCACTCGCTGCGGCCATCACGGTGGTGGGGACAGTGCAGAAGGATGCCTCCCCGCAGATGCCTTTTCAGACCCAGAGCAGCCGGCCGCAGGCCCACACCGCAGAGCCGGTCTGTTGGAGCGTCAGCCGAGACATCAAAAACCAATTCACTACACCTGGCGGTGCCGGCGATCGCCGAGGCGAGCTCCCCACAACAGTTCATCAAAACGGGCCAGCTAATGATCGGCTGGGCAGATAATCAGAGGAGAGTTAATTGTAAGGTTCGACATGGCATCTTGTCAGCAGAGATAAGTTGTCACGTTTTCCACTTGAGCTGAAACTAAATGATTGTAAAATAAGTTATGAGTGTCCTTGGGCCTGTCTGCCGGAATGATAGCTAAGAATCCATTCCTGGCCCATCAGTCTCGGGCAGGCTGCTTGATATTTATGCGAACGGAGTGTTATTTTATCCCTGCAGTCATGCTTGTCAGCCTCCCGCGTGAGGAGTGGGCTGCCTCCCGGACTCATACTTCACGTGCCGCAGCTCGGAGAGGCTGCAGACTGCTGTCGTTACTGCTTGGATTATATATATTTTGGGGTGTGCGTTGAACATTGATGCCCGATTGGGAAGAACTAATGGCTGACGCCCATCGCGCCGGATGGCAGTGGATGGCCTGTCCAGCTCGGGTCTCCGTGGCCCTGTCAAAGCCTAGGTAGGTGTGGAGTAACGAGGTGCTTGCTTTTTTAATTTGGCGTGCCCTCGTTCTCCTCACCTCTCCCCTCCCACAGTCCACGAACCACCATCGTCACCTGTCCCGGTGCCCAGTCATTGATACAAAATGAAACACATTATCTGCAGGCCGTCAGGGGGCGTGGATGGCGTCGTTGCCGGGGCTGCGGCTGGAGCTCATTTCCGGCGTCTGAGACTGGGCTTTCAGCCGCTTCACTTTGAGGGATCTCTTGTCAGGCAGGGGGTCGTCGGGAAGGGAGAAGCACAGTGTGGAAGCCTCGTGCGTTTGGGTCGCTCCTATTTTAAAATGAGGAATGTTAGCTGCTCCTGGGAGCCAGGGGCATTAATATCCCAGCACCAGCTCAGGCCCCGGCTAACTAGCAACAGTGGCCGTCTCTTCGTGAGCCCCAGGCCACAGTCCCTGCCGGCCTCCCGCCTCGGCCTCCCTGGCCCAGGACCATATTCCTCCCTGACCTCTGCCGTATTTGCTTCCGCGATCGCCTTCTCTGGGTCACGGTTGTAGTTGGTATCCTGGCCACAGCCAGCCCGCCCGGACCCGGCACGCTGAGCGTCCTCTAGGTGGACAAGTGGTTTGGTGGCAGCTGCCTCTCCTCACTCAACCATCCACTCCCGCATTGTGCCTGCTCCCCTTAACCCGCCCACCATGGCCGCCCAATTCAGAGTGGCCCCATGCTGTTTGCTGTTCTTCCTCCAGCAGCAAACTGAGGATCCCATTTCCAGGGCCCGGGCCACAGTGCGTAGTTCCAGGTGTATAGCAGTGATTTGATGTATATAGGGAAGTGCTGCTGGAGTAAGTCTAGTTAATACCCACCACCACTATCATAGTGTTTTTTCTTGTGATGAGGAATTTTAACATCTACTCTATTAGCAACTTTCAAATCTCCATGACAGTATTGCTAACTACATATGACATCACATACAGAATTGCGTTGTGTAGACTGTGATACATGAACTGCACCGTAGTGGTTTTATACCTGGAAGTTTGTACCTGCTGACCCCCTTCAGGATCCTTCAGTACTGAGTGCTCTGGGCCTCCATCCAGCAGTCTCATGTATTGTGTAACGTGTTTTCTATTCCAATAGTAAATGACTTGCGGGGCTTGATATGCTCTTGGAGGAACGTGGTTTTCGTGGTTTGAAGTGCTGACGCTTGCTCTGTTTTGCCTTTCCGGTCCGACGCAGACACGGGGCTGGGCGACTCCGTGTGCTCCAGCCCAAGCATGTCCAGCACCACCAGCCCCAAGCTCGACCCACCCCCCTCCCCCCACGCCAACAGAAAGAAGCACCGAAGGAAGAAAAGCACCAGCAACTTCAAAGCCGACGGCCTGTCAGGCACTGCCGAAGGTAAGGCCTCCCGGGACGTCGGAGTGGGTTTGCGACTCGGAAAATCAACCTGTGCGGTCACCTGCCCCGAGAAACACGTGCGCAATAATGAGGTCCCTGCAGGTGCTTCCTGTTTACAAGGTGGCGCCAGAGGGCCCTCAGGACTCCTCATCCCTGGCTGATGTGCGGGCGTATCCACCAAACAGTTGTCTTCTCCTGGCAGCTGTCGCCTGGTAGGTGGTAATGCTGGGGTCCCCGTCGTGTGCCGGTCAGTTCCCTGGTCTTTGGGCCGCCTGGGCTGAGTGTCCACTCCCACTGAGGGAGACGCACCTCTCCTGATCAGGAATCTTCTCTCCTGTCGGTCGGCTCTGTTCTGCCGCTACCCCTCCCGCCAGAGCCGTCCACCCTGACGTGGCTCCTGTCAGGCCCAGGGGTCACAGCTCCTGTGGCAGCTCCTCTGATGTGTCAAGTCCTCAGTTTTCATCTGTGACGCCAGGTGTGATCTTCCTGCAGCAGCTCCTTCTGCTGGGTTTTCAGGGTCTTTCCCACAGATACAAGTGGGGATACACACACACACACACACACACACACACGCATACACGCATGCACTAACAGACCACATTAGAAGAGGTGGAATTAATGCAGTTTTCATAAGCAAGGTAAAGACATACCTCAAAGTGAAAATAAACTTCAAGCATTGTTAGGTAACGTGACTATTTGCGAGGCCAACCAGGGTTAAAGGGACTGTTTGCAACAGGGTTCCACGTGCCCAGGACTCCCGCTAGAGCATAGGTGCTTCTACCTTCTCTGCTCCTCCCTCCCTCTTTCTACCTGGTTGGCTGCTCACCATGAGATGTGGCAGGAATTGGCCCATTCCCTCCTAATACCCAGAAATGAGCCAGGAAACCCGCAGTGCACAGGTGAGCGGGGAGAGAACAGAGTTCCTGTGTGTGTGTGCCGAACGTGATGTCTGCCACAGTTCTGCGAGGGGGGCCGTGGCATCGTTCCACGTATGAAGAGGAGACTGAGGTTCAGAGTGTCCAACAGCCTGTGGGGCTCTCACGGTGGCCCCGCCGGGGCGCATCTGAAAGCTCTACTTCCTCCCCAGGTTTCTTACCAGTTTGCCTCCCATAGGCTTCCTGCTGCCAAGTTTAGCCAATAAAATCTGCTTTTCTCCTGGGATACTCAGTGAGGAGATTCCGTTAGGCCAGCACTGGTGAGAAGTAACGATTACAGAGGAAAGTGCCCCCAGGTGCCAGTGTGATTCCCTTTGGAAACAGATGTGGCCACAGATGCCAAGAGGTGACGAGACGCCTGTAAATGACGGTCAGGCAAGAGCACCTGCCGAGCACACGGCCACACCCACGCTGACGGGGGGGGGGGGGGGGGGGGGGGCAGGGGGGTGCGGATCCAAAAGAAGCATGGCCTCTCACCCGAGGGGTGGCATGGGCCCCACACACCTGCAGGAAGCAGGAGATGGCTTCAGGGAAAGGCCTGGTCCCATTTCTCATGTAAACTTCTTACTGTGTTTGTGGTGTGTTTCCAACCAGTGAGGTTGCTCAGAAGCACCACCTGGCAGATTCTGTCAGTCCACCTGTAACTACATCCCACACACTGACACTAATTATCCCACCCACCGCGGACAAGGTGAGAACGCGGAATGAGATGCAGCCTTAACATGAATTAGTAGCAGCTGCACAGTCAGCCATTGGTGACTGAGGGAGTTGGAGAAGGGACCGTTGGATGCCCGTATTTCCAGCCCACTTTCGAGTTACTGGGACTGCTCTGTGTGTTTCGAACAGTAACCTCTGACACGGCCGAGATGGATCACCCACCCAAAAACAACTGTGACATAAATAGAAAGGCTCCCGGCGCCACAGAAACACCCAAATTAAAAATCCCAGCAGTGCCTCAGGCCTGCGATGAGGAATGGTCACGCGTGTCCCGAAGTTCATCCCGTGATCCCAGGGGAAGCCGACCCCCTCTTTCTAGTTGAGACAGTGCTGTCTCAGTCACACCAGGGCCCTAACATCCTTCCCATAGGAAATACAACAGTAAGTTCTCTGTAAAAAGAAAATGTGTATTTCTCCCCCAGGAAGAGCTACCTACCAAACATAAATGAGTCATTTTTCTGAGACAAGCCTTGTTTCTAAGACATACCTATACGTCTCTGAAGTCGTAATGCACACTACAGTCCCGGCCATTTTAGATTCAATGATATTAAGTCTCAACAGCGCTTAGCTTCTTCAAGTGCATTGCGTAGCCACGTACATGTCAGCATTGTGTTCTTGAAATTAAAGCCAGTTGTATGTGTTTTATTGTTAGAGGATACCGTTTAATTTTAAGGAAATATTTCTGTTTCTCTCTTCTGCGGGCACTGTTACCACCAGTATTGTCTGTTGCCCGTGCTTGTGCTGGAAACTCAATTGCAGATATAAAATGTTTTATAGAAGATGTCATAAAGTGGTTGAATTTTATGGGTTTTGACATACCCCTTTGGAACAAATGACTGCATTTAATTATCTTTAGAGTGTAAGAAAAATAAGGTTCCACTGACAGTCAACTGGCCCAGTCAGAGCTCCAGGGAACACGTGGCGTCATTGAGGGGACTGAACCACAGGCATGTCCACAGAGCCATGGGCATGCCACAGCGGTGGTTATAACCCCGGGATGTAACAGGGAGAGGAGGGGGCAGAAACCGTGAAGACCTGTGGCCTTCAACCAGGGATTTGTCCAACTCGTGATGGCCCAGAGGGAGAGGGGGCCCATGGGAGGCACCCTGACCTCACCTCCCCTGCCTCGAGTCTCCTCCCTGTCCTGCTCCTTGACCAAACCTAACTAGGAGCCAAAGGGCACGAGAATCCCTGGTGCAGGCCACACATGTCTCTCTCCAGGGCAGAGAAGGAGGGAAGGGGACCAACCACCAGCATTTGGGGAGGGCCCGGGTCCCCCTCTTGCCTTGTGCCAATCCCTGGGGAACCGTGCTGCTGACCCTGCTGCTCATCGTTCATCCACAGCAGACCAGGTGCCGCGTGCGGGCCACTGCCCCCGAGGGTGTGGCGGAGCTGGGTGCCCTTCCCCAGCCGAGCGCAGAGGGTCCCGCACTAAGTATGTCTCACTGTGGGGCGTGCACAGTCAGAGAGCCAGAGGATGACCACTTTCTTCTACTTACAATTTTAAATGAATGGAATAAATCTGGTCAATTACAGGAGCAGAAACTACGACTGAAGAATTCCTTTATAAATAACTGAGTCCAGCGTGGGGACTCGACAGGTTCATGCATATGATGAGTCATAGAGGAGACATTTGCATGACCAGGCCCTTCCCTGGGCTCATATGTAACTGTTGGTGTCATTTCCGGAGTCAAGATGTAAAAGTAATTCAGCCCCCTCCGTGAGGAAGTGTGGGTGCAAGCGAGGGCCGTGGGTTCTGCTTTCTGTTGGTGACATACGTCATTTAAACAGAAGTGACTCGGGAAGGTGGCTGGATGCCGGCTCTTCCAAGACAGACCTGAAGCTGTTGCCTTTGGGCGGGTGAGGGGTGCTGGCCGTGAAAGGCCCCCACGTGTCCCTCACTGGGCATTTGGCCCCCCCTCTGCCTGCTGGGAGCCTCCCCAACATTTAGATCTGTTCTTAGTCTCTGAAAGTATGAGTTTTTCAAAGATTGTAGCCCTTTTTGTAATATTATGCAACTTGGTGATGTTTTTATGCAGGAGAATTAGACTGGCCAGAATGTGGGGCAAGGCATGAAAAAAGTGAGGGTGGTATTAGCTTAAAAAAACAACCACCTCCTCACACATCACCCATTTCTACATTATCCCTATTTAATAGACCATTGGCAATATTGACTATTAAAACACCAGGCTATTCTTGATTTTAAGTTGGATTTGATTTGCTCAGAGTTACTCAATATATTTAAGAAAATGTACGTTCAGATCTGGACACAGTCTCCATGGTGATGGCAGAGCATCGAAGCAAATACAGGCGTTGGTGAGAAGGGCGCTGATGGGTCTGGACCGGGGTCGTGGAGGGCATCCTTGAAGGGAGTTGACGAAGGACGGGGGCATAGAGGCGGCTGGCTGGGTTCAAAGGATTGAAGGACAGTCCTGACTGTCCCGGATGGTCCCCGTGGGCCTTTTTGGGACCAAGGGGGGGGAGCCTCAAGGAGATGGACGTTGGCTCAGGTATTGACAGGAAAGCTTTGTTAGAGCCAAGACTGCCCTGAGAGGCAGGGGGCCTTTTCCCTGCAGCGGGCGCAGCCCTGGCCAGGCCACCGCCATGGAATTTGGGTTCTGGGGGGATGATCGCACCAGGGCCCCTGTTTGTGGCCAGACCAGGTTGAAGGTGTGTGACGGCAGAGCTCTTGGCATTGGAGTCCTGCAGATGTTTAGCGACAGGCATCCTCTTTGAATCGTGAGGCGTTCCGGTACCTTCTTATCCAGAGTCCAGTGGCGAGGTTATCGAAGCCAAAACAGAACAGCGGTCTCCACAGCCACATTCTGTGGTCCCTAAGCTGGTGGCTCCTGTTCGTCTTAGGACATTCATGCAAGTTTGCATCGAGCGTTAATTTCCCTGCTTTCCCGTGAAGCGGCGGAGGTGAGGAGAGGTTAAGTGGCGTTCTTGTCCAGGGTCAGGTTGCTGGTAGGCGACCGAGCCGGCGCTGCATTCTCTGCCTCCATCTCTCTCCACCAGGCGGGAAGCGCGTCTTTGAGGTGTGCGGAGCGGCTTTTGAATCTAGGAGTGGGGCCAACGGCGTGGCTTTCTTCCTGTTTCTCAGATTCCATGTAAAGACGCTGGCTTTTATATGGCTCCTCACACCTAGAAGTTGTGTAGCACAGATCTTTCTGTTCAAACACAGGCCAGTCCGGGCTGACGCAGGCTTATTATACACAAGCGTATGCAGAAATCCGGTTGGGGGTTTTTTCCTCTTGGATTCCCAGTGTTTGCTCTAAAGGCCTCAGGGGAACCTGATTTATCTTTCCCATCACCAGCCATCCCTGGCTTGTTCATCCCGGGTCTTTA